ATATTCTCCCCACTTTCCCCCTTTCCATTATCAGGTTCAGTTCCAATTTCATTTTAACAACCTAACGCAAACCCTAGAGCAGATTTTTTTTTTATTATGTTCAGTTAGCCACCATGTAGTACATCATTAGTTTTTGATGTAGTGTTCAATGATTCAGTAGTCTAGAGCAGAATTTTAAAAAAATTAATAGTGTAGAGTAACACTAAGATTTTAACTATGGTTGTCCTAGACCAAGAATTGGCCAACGAGGGCTCCTGGACCAAATTCATCCCATGGCCTGTTTTTGTAAGGCCGAGAGCTAAAAATGACTTTTACATTTGTGTAAAAAAGAGAAGGGAGAGAGAAAGAAGAGAAAAAGACACCAAAAGCAAGAATATGCTGCAGAAATCATATGGCCCACAAATTAAAATATTTACTCTGTGGTTGTTGATAGAAAATGGTTGCTGATGCCTGCTCTGGACTAACTAAAACTCAGGTGATTCTATAGAAGAAGAATGGAAACAATAACAATACTACTTAAGCTTCTGAAGCTTAGATACTTTTGGTTGACCGTTGAAACTGAGCAAGTGAGGTTGAGCTATGCTATTAAGGCAAAAGATGCTCCCTCTACTTTCTGGATTTAGAGGGCAGGGAAGAATGGAGAGAATTTAAAGATAAGAAATGACAGTCATGTTTTCTTGCCCTCTTTATCTTCTCAGGTCTGTTGGGAAAGATAAGAAAGCAATTCAGGCATCAATTAGACGCAATAAGGAAACCAACACAGTTTTGGCCAGATTGAATAGTGAATTGCAGCAACAATTAAAGGTATTCTGAATCTTTACTTGGGAAGTTCCGTGGACTCAGAACATCTCAGTTAACTGGAACTTAGAAATGATCCAGCAACTGTTAGCTAGTGTGAAACTTCCTGGGTAGCAAGAGAAATGTGTATCTAAAATGTTCTTTACACCTTTGAATCTTTGTATATTAAAAGGAATTTTGTATACTCAATTCTGATCTGTCTTGCCATGTATATATATATGTATGTATATATATATATATATATATATATATATATGGCATCACTGTTCCTATAATGTTCCTGAACTTTCATAATGAAACCCAAGAGAGGAAATGTTGGGACCTCGGGTACCTCCAAGATCATATACGTGGTTCTCTACACTCTTATTTAATTCTAAGATGATTTGACTATTGTTAGTTTATCCTTTTATCGAAGACTACTCAGATTCTATTAAAGGGAGTTGAACAGGTCTAAAGAAGATGGGGACAATTGAGATTTTGCATGTGAAAAAGGAAAAACAAGCCTTAAGTAGAAATGGTGCTTATGGCCAATGTGTACTCCCATCATTTATACGTGAGAAGAATAGGTTTGTTTTTCTTTCTTACTACTATGATTTCTTTGAATCTCTACAAATAAAAATTAGCCAGAATCATTTATGGTTTACCAACATTATTAAGCATTCATATGTTGTAAACCAGTGGCCCTCACATCTTAATGTGTATACAGTTAATCAGGGGTGGCCTTAAAATGCAAATTCTGATTCATATTAGGTATGGAGTGGGACCTGAGAATTCTGCATTTCTCGTAAGCTTCCATATGATGGAATGCTGCTGGACTTTTGGTCCAACTTTGAGTAGCAAGGGTGTAAACGACGAAAATGAGGAGAAAAGAGTCTGTGAAGTGTAAAATGAATGCAGAGTTAGTTTGTTCCCATAACATTCTGTTTGTATCCCTTATCTAGCTTTTATCACACTATCTGGAATTATTATCTGTCTCTGTCACATTTGGTTCTCTGTCCTAATAAAATGAACTCACTGAGAGCAAATCATCATTTTTTCTATTCAGGGTGACCATATATATGTTGTCCAAACCAAAATACTTTTGAGAGAAAAGAGAGAGGGATGTGTTACGTTCAGGCAGGACATCAGAAGTCAGCTGGGGCTTCCTAGATAAATTCATAACCATCTTGTTTCTATCCCCAAAACCTAGCACATGTTAGGATTTGATAAATATATGTGAATGAATGATATTTTTGTATAGCTCTTTGATCAAAGAAGATATTTGTAGTTATTCTATGATCATGAATATGGTCTGTTGTAAAGGAAGAATGTAAAACTAAGGAAAGCTTGCTAGAACCATACCTTGACAATGAAAATTTTGTTGGCACATATTTTTTTGAAGAACTAAAGCCGCCTATAGAAACATGTATGTAGGAGCTATTTTAAAAATCACCTTTCTCATTATCTTGAACGAACAGAAAATAGGAAGTATGATATGAAATAGCAAGAGGTAGTTCTGGTTAAAACACAATACTATCAGCATGTCCGAGAAAAAAAAGAAAGTAGGTGAGTTAGGATTCACTGGCTATGTGAAAAGACTGCTCAAAATCAACAGTGATTAAAAATTCTGATTGCAAAATAAATTCATTCTTTGTGAAACCAAAACTCAAATGAGATTTAGGAGTTGTCATGACCAGATATAATCACCGGGAAAAAGAATCTGTGTTAATTGATTCATCTATTACTGCAGGAGGTAGGCTTTATGCAAAATGCATGCATTAATAGCATCATTTGCAAATATTGGCTTTTCTAATAATTAAACAAGAAACATTTTATTACCCTGATGTATTTAATAAGAAAAAGATTTTAATTAAGATCATATTTTAATACTACCTACACATAAACTACTTTGCTAAGTGAAGTATCCTTTTAAAATATGACTCTCCCTTCGTCGTCTTAACAAATTTAAATTGTGTTCTTGATGCTGAGTTGTTGTTAGATGTGCCTTCATTTTTATATACTTTGAAACATAACAACTTTGCATCTTTTTCAGGATGTTCTTGAAGAGAGAATTTCTCTGGAAGTTCAACTGGAACAGCTTCGACCATTCTCTCACCTATAAGCCAATTGCCGTTAACTGTGAACATACCTATTTTTAAGCAGTTTTGGGTTCAAGCCAATTTGGAGACCCAAACGTTCAGCTCACTGCTTAATTCAACATTAAATTTTATGATTCTGTTTTGCCCTCTATGTTCACCTGTATTTAAGTATCTTTTATTTTTTAATTTCAACAATAAAAGGGTCAGGATGACTTTTCCTGGAGGATATATTGTGTTTGTTGGCACAGCCCACCCTTCTTACACCATAGCATCAGGAATACATAACAGTGTCCAGTATATTTATGTGGCCAGAACCTCACACTGATTTGATTTACAGAATGGCCTTCCTATTTATATCTCAAGCACAGACTGAAATATTTGCAAAAGGAGACAAAATTAAATTGTCAATTTGTCTTTTAGGTTTAATATTTTACATTAAAAAAATCTATATTTTGTAGAAATCTTTAAAATGAGCTTCCTAGTTAATTTTTGATTTGAAGGGACTATATTGGATGAGGCATTCTTTAACCATAATCTGCATTCCTCAGGAGTCACGTGGTACTTTCAGGCTCTTCCATGTCAACTTGGGTGTCAGATTTTATAATTTTCCCAGTGAAAATTGAGCAATTTCACCGGTAACCTAAAAATTTTGTGTGTGAAATTTTAACTCAGCAGTCATGTAAACTTAGGAAATGGCTCTGAAGTCAGGTCTTAATTGTCCCCTAGAAGCAAAGGGAAAGTGTTGAAACCACAAACAACATAAGTACTGTCCACATTCAAACACCATTTTTTGCATGATTTATGCACTTAATTCTCAATTAGAGATTTATGCTTATCAGTCGCTACAGAGATTATTTTCAAGTAATAATGTTTTAAAACTTCTGAGGGCATTAATTATTCGCGGAATAAATGGAAGTTCCTTGATATTTCTAGTTTACCTTCAGCTATCTTGTCATTCAATCTTTGGCCATAGAGACTGGTTTTTCCTAATATCAGAGCTTCTGAAGTGTGCCCTATTCAGGATGATAAAATGTCTTAGGATTTGTTTCATATTATATGATATATACATTTTGATAACATATGTAAATTTGCATTCACTGCTAATAGCAGATATTCCCTTTAATGGTTTAGTGTGTCTGTGGATCATAGATGTTAAGCTGCATGGATAATACCGTAACAGAATCAAAGTGTGATTTTACACTAATAAAACAGCACAATATTTTAATTTCTCTACATTTTTTAACAAGAATTTAAATTTTTAAGAATTAGAAGAAATTTATGTTTGTTATTGAAAAAAGAAAATGTTTAAAATAGCCCAGTTCACAATCCTAGACTCTACTAGATTTTTACTATGTTAAAGGAGAATATGAAACAAAAAGGAAACTGACAACTGAAAGCTTCCAAGATCAATATCTACTTCAAGTAAAAAATACTACTACTACTGCATACATCAGCAGAAATTTCCAAGTGCCTAACAGATTATGGCTTCAGTTTGTTAAATAATTAAATGAAAGTTTTAAAGGTACAGAAAACTACCGAACACGTGTTTTGCTGTTTCTCTTCAAACAGAATTGTCTTAATTTCTTTCTTTTTTTTTTTTTTAAAGATCTTTTATTTATTTATTTGAGAGAGAGATCACGAGCAGCAGGGAGGGGTAGAGGGAGAAGCGGGCTCCCTGCTCAAAGGAGAAACTGCTTCTCCCTCTCCCCCTGCCTGCCACTCTGCCTACTTGTGCTCTCTATCAAATAAATAAATAAAATCTTTAAAAAAAAAAAAATGTTTTGTTTGTTTTTTCCCAACAGCCTTCTAATTTAACAGTGTCTAATTTAACTTTTTAAAACTTCTTACTTGGAAGATCTAAAAATTTTAATTTTGCAACCAAGAAACACTTAAAAATCACAGAAAACTTTTTAGTAACCTTTGTAGTGGTTTATTTTTAATGCTCTCTGGAGAGTACATTCATATTAAGGGCATATGTGACAGGTTTTTGAGTAAATTGCCATTAATATTATACAATTTTAAAATCAGTAGTTATATCATGAAAATTTATAAAGATAGGTAAGTCAACAAAATATTTCTCTAGACCGATCATTTAAGAAACATTTTTTTATTCTGACGTTTTCATTAGATCATAAAACAAAACTTTAAATACACAATTATCCTTGTTCTGTCAAATTAATCTAAACAATAGTGTCTGTGAAAAATAACTACCAAAAGAAGTGCTTCAAAATTTTGGACTCAATTTGTTCGTACTTTACATTTCTTCACATAGTTGAACACAGACGATAAAGCTTAAAAGTTAGGAGGGACTTTATGGGTCGTCCTAGTTCATTCTCCCATCATCCATGACAAATCATCATTCTGCTTCCTACGGATCTTCTGGAACAGAAAATACATTGTCTTTGCCAGGGAGAATAAGCGCCCATAATGTTTTCTCACTTCTCCATACTACTTTTGATTGCACTTTGGAGTACTGACAACCATAGGAATTTATCATCCTCAACCTCTGTAGCACAAATCCATTCACGTTTTGGACCATGAAGAATAAATGCATTCTTGATATCTGTAAAAATATTTGAGGTCTACTAATTAATCTTGGCAGGTCACAATCAAAAGAAAAAAAATGTTTTAAAATTCAAGAATTGACCAAGTCATCTTTAGGAACTTCATGAAAACTAAAAAGGGATTCCAATATGAGTCCAGTTTAGAATATAACTTCCTAAAAATACTGAATAATTCAAATATAACCTAAAAAATCTTATCTTTGTGATTGTTTAATTGGGGTTTTTAAAAATTATTTATTTTAGAGAGAGAGTACAAGCAAGGAGGGGGCAGGCAGAGGGAGAGGGACTGCTCAGCAGGGAGCCTGATGTGGGGCTCGGTCCCAGGACCCTGGGATCGTGACCCGAGCTGAAGGCAGACACTTAACCACCTGAGCCACCCAGGCACCCAAATTAGTTATTTTTAAAGACTGGTAGATGGTAGATGATGTCATGTTCTTTAACTCCTTGTCTCGGCCACTCCTGAAGGACTGGAACCGGTAAAGGTCTGCACTAAGAGTTGGTGCAGGTAGAGATGCTGAGAGCTAGGCCTGGACCACCTTGTCGGAATTAAGCCAACTATGTAGCTGAGTGCCAGCTGTCTAGCAGGTTACATAACGATGTTTTGAGACAGCACAGCTGACTAAGGGGAGACTAAAAGCAGATGTCCTGCCCTCTTTAACCATTCCCGGTGATTATAGAGTTACTAACCCATGTCACCGGAGTTTGTTTTCTAGGTGGAAATATTTATTTTCACCTTTGGTGTTCATTTTTTTCTCAGGCTCAGATTTAAAATGAGGCTAAAACTAAAGGGAAGCAGCCCTTTTTTAAGGGTGAGTTCTTTATCTAAGTCCTTCGTTCCAGCTTTAACCGTAAGTCCTGCCTTGACGTGCGATGAAGAGTATTGGAACGAGAGGTATTCCATTCAGATTGTCTGGCCTAACAGAAACTGAGAAAAGAGAAGGATCCTTTTAAGCTTGGGAAGTAGCGTGTAGGATAATAACTAAAAATAGGCATGGTAGTTTTAAGTAGGATTTCTTTTTGTAACAGACGAGAGTTCTATTGAGGTTATTAATGAGTGAAATGTCTGTTACTAAACATCCTTTGCAAGTCTGTCAATTACAGAAGTGTCAACTTGAATATGAATTTAAGGAAGAAAAGGTACATAGATTTGTAATAATCAATCCTAGTGGAATGGAAACAGCATATAAAAATCTAAAATATAGTAACATCTGTAGACAGTATAGCCCTAGTAATTGGAAAAGTGATAGGTAAAAGTATAAAATTGTAACATTTACAAGCAGTAGTGAGTAGTGGCTCTCCTGTCAGATTGCTTCGAAGAACTCAGGCTGATGTGGGTTCATGCCTCCTTTTATGACTTTTGAAAGTTGTTTTCCTAATATGTAGGGTGCATGTCTGACAACACCAGCATTCCTTTCCTTTGCTATTTCCGATAGGTGCAAAGTTTACATTAATGAAATCCTAAAATACTCGAAGAACTATTTGCAAACTTGCAAATGAAAATTCTAGTCCTTTTCCTACTTTATAATAAATAGTTAATGAGCATTATATAATATAGCTTTCTAAAGGTCTTCAACTCTTGGAAGAAAAAGAATACATACATTTGGAATCTGGAATATCCTCTACAAGTAACCTATGAAGGGCCACTGATGCAATGAACTGGTAGGTTGATTTTGAAGTCCTCTCAAATGGAGTATGAGATGTGCCCCGACTAGAAACAAGCAGTGCATCGTTGAAGAGGAAAAGACTGAGGTCACGGGTGTGTTCGTAGAGCCTGTGTTAAAGTGGAGAAGGGTTACATGGACATACTTTGTTACACAATTCACCATCCTTGCATTGATAAGCCAATAGTTGAGGCCTTTGCCCACTACAGACAGGTTGGAATGGCTCATTGGAGTTCTCAGTAGTTTTTCTCCTGGTGTGAATACTCCCTTCTGTCTCTCAGACCACTGCTGTGGGTGGGCCTCAAGGTTCCTGGTGGAATGGTTTGAACTTACCCACTGGACAAGCTGTGGGGGAAAGAGACATTGAACTTTTCCTCCTTTACAACATGAATTATGCTAGAGCTGTGTTAAACCAAGTGTGGTATTTTGTATCTGATGTATTTGGGCAATCTGGGGAAAGTAAGTTTGGTTTGGTTTGGTTTCATCTTCAGTGTAACAGGTTGGGGTAGAGAAAAGCACAAGAACCGATATGGCCCAAGGTATCTTAAGTACAAAGCAGGGAAAAGAAAAGCATTTAACTGAAGGTTAAAGGAACTAGGTAGGAAATTAGAATTTTTCTAATTTTGGTTGGAGGGAAATCAACAGATAATACACTTCATCAGTATGAAAGGTGAGAAGTAGCTCTTCATTTTCACTGAGATTGCTATGATGGTCAACTGAGGCATGTTTATCAGCAGGCAAAATGTCGTGCCCTCAACCTCCATCTATTACCCTCTAGGCTGCTGTGTAGCTGGAGCCGGGTCTCCTGCTTGGTAGGCGCCAATGTACTCTAGTATGGGTTTGCTTGTGTGAGTACTCACCAGGCAGTCAAGCAACATGTTGGGGAGGAGCTAGGGGAGCCCTCCCCGACCCCCCCCCCCCGCAGTGTCCTCAACCCCCTCCCCCCACACCAGGAGTGGCTAAGTGAAGCTAGCTCAGTGGGGTTTTTTTGTTTTTTTTTTTAAAGATTTATTTATTTGACAGAGAGAGAATGAGAGAGAGCACATGAGAGGGGGGAGGGCCAGAGGGAGAAGCAGACTCCCTGCCGAGCAGGGAGCCCAATGAGGGGACTCGATCCAGGGACTCCAGGATCATGACCTGAGCCAAAGGCAGTCGCTTAACCAACTGAGCCACCCAGGTGCCCGCTAGCTCAGTGTTTTATTGTAGGGTAACCAAACATTTTTTCTCTAGAAGCATCAAGCAACCCTCAGTTACTCTAAGGAAGGGAGTCCATTTACTAGCTTGATGAACAGAGGAAGTCTCATTTTTTATCTTCACTATCTTTGTTTATTTTTTAAATTGTCAATTTAAATCTACATAAACTTTTACATAAATGCTAAAGTGGCATCAATCCATACCACCGGCTTTATTAAGTGTCCTTTTTTGTTTCACTTTTTCTTTTTGCTTGGCTCCCTCCTCCCTGCACTCAGGCCACCCAAGTTACCAAACTAGTAACTGTCTGTCCTTGTTTTCTTACTTGCTCAGGTAATCACACACATATGTACATGTATACACATCTATTTACAGGTAGGTTGCCATTATTTTACAAAAATGGTAACGTCCACACTTTTTTTCTGCTTTTCTCGCTTAGCAATGGAAATCACTTCAAGTTAACTGGTATGGCTTTATTTATTTTTTAAGATTCTTTTATTTGAAAGCGAGAACGTGATGGGAGGGGCAGAGAGAGAGAGAATCTCCAGCAGACCCTACACTGCGCGTGGAGTTTGATGCAGGGCTTGATCCCAGGACCCTGAGATCATGACCTGAGCTGAAATCAAGAGTCAGATGCTTAACCGACTGAGCCACCCAGGTGCTGCTTTAATTTATTCTTTTTTAGTGGCCAAATAATACTTTATGGTGTGTGTAGATCATCATTTATTCAACTCTTCCCATTTTGATGCCCATTGGGTTTGTTTACAGGCTTGGGTCTCTTTCCTCCCTTCTCCCTTTCTCTCTCCTTCCTTTAATTAGTTCTTTATGGCCACTATGGGCAATGTTCGAATAAACTGATCTTTATTTATAATCAAATCCCTTACACGTGTTGTTATTTCTATCAGATAGGCTTCTGGGGGGTAGGATTGATTGGTCAAATGTTTTATGTATTTTTATCAAAAACCTCCAGATGACTGTCCTTAAAACCTGCTATAATTACCATTTAGAGTCCACTTTATGTATGATAATGGCTCTGACTTGTACATAGTACAAACTCTAATGTCCCTCTAAATTACCTGGAGATTTTTGTTAAAATGCAAATTTTGATGCAGTAGAACTAGAGTAGCCTGAGGTTTTCTGCATCTCTAATAGCTCCCTGATAATGCTGATGTGCAGACCACATTTTGAGGAGTGAGGCATTTAAATCATCTGTTACAACCATGTCATGCTAGGCAAAGGACTGGATCCAGGACTTAAAAGTTTTTGAGGAGTACTATATTTCAGGTTCAGCTATTCGGAGCGTGTTAGGCAGGTACCAGCTGTGTTAGGTGTGTGGATAATTAGAAAGGCAGTGGTCACCCAGCCCCTACAGCCACCTTTTCCTTTTTCGTGCATTTCCTTCCCATCTCTATGTGGTTATGATTTAGGCTGGAAGGAGTGGGATGCTTCAAATATACTGACATCTTGCAAGAAACAATATTCTAGATCAAGTTGATAGGGTATTCTGACAAAAATGGTGCATACAGAACTAGGGATGAGAAAGAAAGGCAGCAAGAAGGGAGATATTTCAATCTGTGTGTAATGGTCTATATGTGTAAATGGCCACTCCCGTCCATATTCTTGCCCTTTTTTGGCAATTTTACCACATTACTTATGAGAACAATTATTTCTCCTATCATACCAGCTTAGAAAAATGTTCAAAGCTATAATAAAATATTGCTGTTTTATCTGAATTATCAGAGAATGTGCATATAGGTTTGCTTTAGAGAAGTGGCTTTGAAAGGTAAATAATAATTTTTTTTCTTTTGGAAGGTGTAACAGAGTAGAGGTAAATCAAAGAATCCCAGTTTTGTGACCCACGCAGAGCAAGCGGGTGGTTGGCCCAGGAAAGGGCAGATTAACTCAAAGTTGAGGCCACTTGTAATCAGAGGACATGAGCAGGGGAAGAGGCTTGAAAACACACAGAGGTTTTCATTATTTCGATCTGATTATGAGAATGCTATCTAAAATAAATCTAAGTTCTATCTAGAAAAATGGTTTTCAAAAGCCATTTACTGAGTTAAGCCCCTCCAGGGGCTCCTGGGTGATTCAGTCAATTAAACGTCGCACTCTTGATTTTGGTTCAGATCATGATCTCAGGGTTGTGGTATCCAGCCCTGCGTCAGGCTCAGCGTGGAGTTTGCTTGTCCCTCTCCCTCTGTTCCTCCCACTGCTCACTCTCTTTCTCTCTCTCTCCCCCTCCCTAAAATGAGTGGATAAAAATCTTTTAAATAAATAAATCCCCTCGAGATCTCCAACAATTTTCATCCAAAGACAAGGAACACCAGAACCTTTTTTAAAAAAATTAATAATTCCTCTACATATGTAAAAGTAAGTAATTTCACCTCTCATATTGACATAATAGAGCAACTGAAGTGGAAACTACGGATCCTAATAGGGTTTCAGAAAGCTACTTCTGCTCATTCAAAAGAACCAACTCCAAGGGTAGAGTTTTTTTCCCTGAACTTGGTTGGATAGGATTTCTTTTCTTGTTCAGAAATAGGTCAAATGACTCAACAAAATGTAATAGGTCTATTATAGTTTAAATTCCTAACATCATTCTAGAAGTGTTTTATTGTTGTTTATTGTATCAGACTGCCAAAATGATGAAGTACCCAACTTCTATAAATACATAAAACCTTGAAAGGAATTTTACAACGTTAGGCATGAGCAGACAACAGCAAGCCATAGGTTCTCTGAGCTGCCCTGAGCCAAAACTGTAGCTCCTAAACATCCACACTCTGACCTAAGGAGTACAGTGGCTTTCGGAGTTGCCAGGCTAAGAGTCAATTCAGAGCCAGAGTCCAGTATCCCTGGGAGGCTGCCCCGGTAACCAACTGTAGGTCCCTTTGGGTAAGGCAAAAAGAAAGTTTACAGTATGCATTTTTGGCAGTGGAATAGGGTTTTTCCTCAAGAGGACTTGGTCTGAGAAGTGGATGTCTCCCTTTGGTGATTCAAGGCCGTGCCACTGTTCACCAGTCCTAGAGGGCTCCACCTTTTGTCGCCTCTGCATCGAGTGAGGAAAGGAGGAACAACAACAAAAGCCTATTTAAAAACCAGCAGGCTGAAAGTCACATCAATGAGAACTGGTGTTTCTGGAAGAACGATATTATAGAAGTTCCAAATTATGTAATATATTTTCAAAGCTTAACATATCCCCAAATTCTGTGGGCTATATTAACAGAGGGACAAATACGTTCAAATTTCCCAGCTCTAAATGACCCTATGACTTCATCTCTACCCCGGAGGAAATTTTTTCATTTACAGTGCAAATATTGACTTGTTTTTTTCCGTGTCACAGCTCTTGTTTATTAGTAATGTGTTTAGTACTTGCTGCTCGGTGTAAATTTATTATGAGGAAGTCTCAGTTCATCTTTCCACCTGCTGGTCTAATCAGTAGATAGAGCACTGAGACTTGGTTTTGAATTTCAGACCAGAACTTATTCTGTGGCCTCAGACAACTTACTTAAATCCAGATTCCCACCCATAACATGGTTCCAGACCTACTTGCCTCAGCAAGTGATTGTAATGAGTGTATCAAATGAGGGAATGTAAAGAATATGGTAGGGGCCCCTGGCTGGCTCAGTTGGAAGAGCATGTAACTCTTGACCTCGGGGTTGTGAGTTTGAGCCCCACAGTGGGTGTAGAAATTATTACAATAAATAAATAAGTAAAAAGCATTAATAAAAAATATGGTAAATTATAAAGCCTTATACTCATGTAAGTCAGCATTTTATGTATAAATATAAGCAGAGTTTTCTCTGAGTAGAAATCCCTAATGGAAGTCATAGGAGTGGGATTTCTTGAGTTTTATCTGACTTTCCAAAATGATAGAAAACAAAGTTGCAGACTAAAAATTCTATAATATCTTTTCAAATAT